AAGCTGGTGGCAGAGCAGCTGGGGTGCTGCTGGGTTGGTCCTGCAGTGCTGCCCTCACACACGCTGCACAGTTCCCCGCTGACCCCACCCCAGGCCCCTCATAGCCCCCCTTCCAGTACTCCGGCATATCTGATAATCCAGCATCCCCTGGGTCCTAAAGGTGCCGGATTATCGGAAGTTTACTGTATCTTGTTTCTTGTAACCTTCTTTACACTTCAAGTTCAGTTTCTCTTTTTGCAATCACTGATCCATCCAGGACTTGTGGATGTATTTCCTTCGGAGTCCTGCATCATGTTAGGTAACAATATGAAAAAAAATTAATGCAACTTTCTAGCACAGGGGGTGGTGGAGGACAATCTAAGGAAAATCTTTTACTTCTACATGGTTCAATCCTCTAGTACAGTGTTTCACAAAGTGGTTTGCAAAACCACTTTGAGAAACCTATTATTTGGCTGATCCAGCATGTTTACTTACCGGTACCACAGCCATGAAGCCTTGCGGCTCCTGTTGGCTTCCCACTGCTCCCCTTGGCTGCAAACAGCAAAACCGAGCCAATAGAAACCATAAGGCTCCAGAGCCATAGCGCCGGTAAGTAAACACGCCGGAGTGCCCAGGTAACAGATTTCTCAAAGTGATTTTGTGGCCCACTTTGAGAAACACTAGTATCTAGTGGAAGGGAGAATTGGCTATTGGACTAATATGTTACTAGGACTTGAAAACATGTTCTCTGCATATGGAACTTCAAGATGTTTCTTGTTGGTTGTAGGAATCCTCTGCTGAACGGCATCTTGTAAAGCAGGAACTATCTCTGCTTTTGACAGTGACCTGTGGTAAACCAGACATTTTGTTTCAGATAGCTCCATTTCCCTTGCTTTGTTGTTGCTTCTTTTCTCTAATCCCAGATCGGATCACAATGGTTTCCCTGATGATCTTCCATGTTCTGCAGGGTAGTGTGACATGATAGCTTTGGTAAATCCTAGTGGCTACGTCTACACTGACCCCTTTTACGAAAGGGGCATGCTAATTTTAAACTTCGTAATAGGGAAATCTGCGGGGGATTTAAATATCCCCCGCGGGATTTAAATAAAGATGTCTGCCGCTTTTTTCCGGCTTGGGGAAAAGCCAGAAAAAAGCGTCTAGACTGGCCCGATCCTCCGGAATAAAGCCCTTTTCCGGAGGATCTCTTATTCCGGCTTCAAAGTAGGAATAAGAGATCCTCCGGAAAAGGGCTTTATTCTGGATGATCGGGCCAGTCTAGACGCTTTTTTCTGGCTTTTCCCCAAGCCGGAAAAAAGCGGCGGACATCTTTATTTAAATCCCGCGGGGGATATTTAAATCCCCCGCGGATTTCCCTATTACGAAGTTTAAAATTAGCATGCCCCTTTCGTAAAAGGGGCCAGTGTAGACGTAGCCAGTAAGTAAAGGCTGTTCCAGTTAAATACAGTGTCTATCTTAAAACAGATCCAACTGTCATCCCTGGCTATAGACTGGTTATCAGACAAAACTGGAATATAAAAGTGCTGCTATCTGAAAGTGGATGTCTCCATTGGTGTATAAATACATTTGGATATTTTTAAAGAAATAATTACCTGTCTCTAAGTTTTGAGTGTGCCTGGTTCTTAGTATGCTTTAATTGTATGAAAAGCTATTTCCAATGAAACATTGACCAATAACAAAGAAGTAAAGAGCACTTTTTTCCTCCTTGGGGGAATGGAGATGGTAACAGTGAGGCAGCCATTGTATTTGGTTAATTTTGACCTTTAGGTTCTAAAAGTTGAATTTGGTACCTTCAAGGTTATGCAAGCTGGTGGGACAAAACATGTCCCAAGTTGTTACAAACTTCTAACAAGAAATGCCTTCTTTCTTTTCAGCAATTAATCATAAACATTTTACTAAATCCAGAAAAAAATCCTCTTATATATGTGGTTTCAGATAATTAAATCAGGCTCATGGGCAATCACCAAACAGAATCATAAGATTCTTAGGACTTTTGCAAAGTAGACAAAAACAGTGGCTTTAACGTAAACCTGATCTTTGAAATGGAATTAGACAATTTCAATTTAACTGTTTATTTTAAGTTCCAAGCTAACCATAAACGATATAAAAAAAGCTTTAAAAACAACTAATAGTCCTGCAGCACCTTAGAGACTAACAAAAAATGTAGATGGTATCATGAGCTTTTGTGGGCACAACCCACTTCTTCAAACTATGTAATCATTTAAATGTTAATCCAATGCTGGCAGGTCAATATTTTTAATTGTCATTGTACATATTTAGTGGAGTTAAAATGTCAAACACAGGATAAGAATCTGACTTCCTTTAATGTATCTAGTTAGCTTCATTTCAGATAACGTCATTGTACCATTTGATTCACTCAGAGAATAAAAACCTCATTCATGTAAGCTTCTGTTTAAAGAGAGATGTCATTAGTACAGTCTGGGGTTACCACTATATGCAGTGGTGCTTACCTACATTTAAAAGATTTTTTTATTCCATTTTGTAAATTTGGCTGTCCAGAATTCTAGATTCATACACAACTTTTTAGAGAAAATTTAAATCCGTATCAGTACTGCCAGTCTACTAAAACTTTCCCTGTTGAACTGTCTAACCTGCTCTTCAGGGGAAACCGGAGAAAACTGACACTGTAAGCACTGCAGTGTGCTCTAAAGGCCAGCAGATTTGGATGGTATCAGATGAAGTACTATTCTAAATTTTGTAGTTAAGATGTCAGAGATTTTTATTATTTTATAAGATGCGATGTAAAAAGAAGTAAAGGATGACTTCATTATAGATACATTGTAAACAAGAGCAAACACTTGGAACATGTTGAAGATGCAAGAAAGCATGTAATTCAATGATTATATTGAAGTTTTAAACCCCTTTTAGAAAATTCTTATCTTACAGATATGGATCCTGATTCAAAGGAGCAATGTGTAAATGTAGGGGTCAGGCTGTGTATGGATCCAATTGCAGGACTCAAGCCTGAAAATGGAATAATTTAACTATATTGTTGTTGAAAATTACTTTTTTTCTACTGTTTTTGGAATTACAGTGACACCTAGGGTACGTCTAGACTACAGGGTTTTGTCGACAGAAGTTTTGTCGACAGATACTGTAGACAAAACTTCTGTCGACAAAGAGCGTCTAGACTACATCCAGTTCTGTCGACAAAGCAAGCAGCTTTGTCGACATAACAGTGTGGATGCAAAGGACAGTGTAGATGCAATAATGCCTTCTATCAACAGAACTCTGTCAACAAAAGGTGTTATTCCTCGTAGAATGAGGTTTACATACGTCGACAAAACTGCTGAGTTTTGTCGATGTTATGTCGACATAACTCAAAGGCAGTGTGGACGCAGGTATAGTTTTGTCGACAAAAGTCCACTTTTGTCGACAAAACCCTGTAGTCTAGACACACCCCTAGAGTCCAAATTATCTGAGAGAACCACAACTTTGTTTTTATTTCTTAACATACAGTAAAACCTCACTAATTCCCCCAAACAAAATATTATTGTGGAGTTCCAAATTGTATGAATTGACAAGCAGAAATCTTACTAAGTCAATCATATTGCATTATAAAACCATATTCTGTTCATTTTGATTTTAATGTTTATACTTAATTAGTAGGTGTTATATGATGTTTGTTTAAAAATTCTTTCCTCACACAATTAACCTGTGGAACTCACTGCTATATGATACCCTTGAGACCAAGCTGGCAAGCTTAGTGTTTAAAAAAGGATTCAATATTTATATAAATAACAAGAACAACTGTAAAAACTTAAAAAAAAAATAGTCTAGCAGCACCTTAAAGACTAACAAAACATAAGAATTGGTGTAGTTAGACTACACAAATGTATGAGAAATCATGCTTCAAGAGAGAAGCAACTAACCATTACCTGCTTTGGATTAACAAGAAAGTTTTCCTATTGGATATGTTGTCTTATAATTTTGTCCATTATGGGCGATGTGGATTTTTGTGCCTTTTTATACCTTCCTCTCAGATATCTGGTACTGTCCTATGTAGGTGGCAGTGGTCTAGATGGATCTGTTTTGCTTTGGTGTGACAATTGTTGTGTTCTTAAAAGTTGCAAAATGTTAGATAAGGCTTCATTACTGGACACAACTAACACTTTGTTGAGAGGATGTGTGAGACCAGCCAATATCTGCCAAGGCTCCCGAGGACTGCAGATTAAATGAGAACTGGTGAAGTTTGACTGTAGTCCAGCAATTTCAGTTGTGCCCCATTCTGTGCCGAGGCACAAATTGTTAGGGGTGGGTTATGCCCCTGTGTAGTGACTGGGTGTGGTTCTAATATGGAATGAGGCACTGTTTCTGGCTAGCAACTTAGGATCTTGTCTACCTGATACACTTACATATAAACATTGAAAGAAGAACGGTCCTTGGATAAGCATGTGGACTAAGCTACCTTTCTACTTCATATCAAGGTCCCTCTGAATCAGGTCTGACATTACATTATCTGTAGTGTGTATATTTTTTTTGTTGCCTATTGTTTCTATCTGTTATGCGCTAGGGATGTTAAAATGTGTTTAAGTAACCATGTAACCTGAAAATTTCAGCTGTTACAAATGGGGCACATGGAGAGCCAGCTTAAAAGCTGTCTCCCCACCAATACAGGCTCCCGCCTCCGCCCCTCCTTCCCCCTGCCCCTGATACAGTAGCAATGAGGAGGCAGGCAGCTCCCCAGGAGCAGGTGCATGCAGAGAGCCAGCCCAGGCTCATCGGTTAACTGTGTACATGGTTACATTTTAACATCCCTATTATACATACAGCCTGCCAGATTCTGTTTTTACCCTGCTGTAAGTCCCGAATTACTGTTGACATAAGTGGTAGTTGTAGCTAATTTACACCAACATAAGTAACTGAGAAAAAAATTTGACCAAGAAGCTTCATTTTCCTTTATCTCCCATCTCAAAACTTTCAGAAGCATTACATTCACAAAAAATAAAAAAGTATATGTAGTACAAACCCTAAATATGGAAATTTACATGAGGTATTAGTGGCTCTTCAAAGGAAAATAAAGTCCTTTTCCAAAATTTTTATTTTGCAGAGGGACGGGGCTTGGTAATAGTAACATAACTGCAATACTTTTTACAGTTTAGCTGGAATGCTGTTATTTGTGTTTGATCTATTTGCAAAACATTTTTTTTAAAGCACTGGATTCTGAAAGGATTTTTATTTTTATTTTTTTTAGCAAGGTAAGTCTCTTTTAAAAAATTAATTGTTTAGTTTCAGACATGCTGAGTTGCATTTCACATTAGGTATCTTGAATTGTGTGTTGTGTTTTGAATCTTATCTGTTTTGATAGATGTTATCTGGTTCCAAACACTCCTGCAAAAAACAAACAAAAACAAGTTGTAAAAAGATTCAATGTGTAATAGTTTGCCCCACTAAGGAAATACTGAACTGGGTTGATTTGCAAATTCAGTACAATCAATTTAGGACTGAATAAGGAATTTCCCCTCTTGATATTCACATCTCTACATCAACTGCTATGAATGAGCCACATCCTCTTTGATTTGATTAGTGTCATTACCAAGAAACTTTTCTTTTGTTGTCCTTCTATACCCCTGCCTCTAACTCTGCTCCAATTCATATGGTGAAGTGGATTTTACGCACAAAAGCTTTATCCATAAGGTGCCACAAGACACCTCATGTGTTAGTTTGTATCTACAAAAACAAACTTCACCTGAGACTTCTCCTTTCCTTTGCTACTGGTGCAGAATGTGACCGTCTGTCCTGTATCTGCATGCCCTCGTTCATCTGCAAGATTCTTAACCTTTTTCATTCAGTGTTGACTATCCTGAATACAGCTCCTAGGTGAGCGCAGAGAGTCAGCAGGACAGTCATGTTTATCTTATGCGTATGCTCACGTCTGCCAGTCCCTGGGTTACATCAGTAAGGGTTTGATGGCTTTTTGGAGGGCAGTTTTAGAGGAATGAAAATTAAATCACAGGTTTTATATGTGGGCAAGTGTTTCACCTGTCAATGCTGAATGTCTATTTCATTTTCGTGTTTCATCTGTGAAGTATATGTTCTGTTTCCTTATTAGAATGAAACAGGAGCTATATTTCTTGTTTATGATTCAGGAGTAGTTTTCTTAATTTGAAAGTGTTGTGTATGTTCCTAAAATTGTTCTTCTGTAGCATATGCAAAATACACTATGGTGTGGTTTAAAAAAAATTGTTACAAGTTTGGGGGGATGAAATCATGTTCATGTCTTTATACAGTATCATGAAGTATTCTGTATAATTTGCATATGTTGTAGTAATTGTTTTAGGAATATTTGAGTTCTTAAACTTTTTGGAACTACCGTACTTTTTGTAACTCTACTTGTAAAGCCATGTGCCTTCATTGATGTGAGTCCAATTATCCAGAGCTCGGGGGTGGATGGGGAAAGAAATTGAAACTAATGATGTGCCTCCAAAAGTGAACTGTAATAGCTTTTCAATACCTAAAATACGTATGTCATGGCTCTAAAGCAGGGATGGGCAAAAGGGCCTCCGCAGGCCAAATCCAGCCCACCAAGCAGGTTGATCTGGCCCACGGAGGCCTTGTTGCTTCCCCCGCCCCCAGGACAATTAGGGCTTGGGGCGGGAGCAGCTTGTGAAATTTCCTCTGCCCTAACCCTGCCCTGCAAGGAGGCCTCGCACGCTCCCCTACCCCCATGCCAGTCAGGGCTTGGGGGCTGGGGAGCGCATTAAGTCTCTTCCCACCCTGTCAGGAGCGCGCGGCACTTCAAAATGCTACGTGATCCTGGCAGGGCGGAGGAAACTTTGTGCGCTTCCCCAGCCCCTAGGTTCTAATTGGCCTGGGGGCAGGGGAGCATGCAAAGCCTCTTCCCACCTTGCCATTAGCATGGGTGCTTAGTGGGAAGTGGGAGGGGGCAAAGGGGTTCCCCCACCATCAGGCCAATCATGGTCTGTGGGCAGGGAAGCCCGAAAGCATCCTGGCCCCGCCCCTTCCATTTTAGGTCCCACCCCCTACCTGGGTAGCCCAGGGCCACTTCAAAAATTTTTGCCTACCCCCTGTTCTAAAGTCTGGCATCTCAAGTGTTTTCAGACATAAAATGAGCACAAAATTCTTTTGGAAAAAGTGTGTCTCTACTCCCCAATAGTATGTAGATCCTAATTTCAGCTTTGATGTGCAGTATTGGACTTCTGAAACCTTTGGCATTGTAAGTGTTGAAAAGCTATTGCTGGTTCAGGACTGACTCTTGCAAATGCTGGCTCTCTGGCAGTGAAGAAGTCCGATTCTGTAGGAAATGTAATATAGTTCTGAAATGTGATTCTCCCTTTTTCACATACAATGAACTAGCAAAAATAGCCATAAGATTTTGGAAACCCACTTCTCATGTTACTTGTTACTCACTGGCTGATTATGGTTGTTAGCATATCTCTTCTTGTACAGTTCTTGTACAATTGCTCGACAAACTGTTCGGCCACTCATATTTTTCTGCAGATTAAAATGTAGTTAACAATTTTGTATTAGAAATAGAATTGTAAAAATTCATTTGTCTCTACATTATATCTTTTCTGATTTGTTTTTTAAAATTTCATCGTAAGATATCACGATAACATGAAACATTAAGTTTTGCAGCCAAAAGGGGCCCCAGCTGTAGAACAAATTTCTTACTGTCAAATTAAATTCCTTCTTTATCTTGTGGAGTTTACACACACACACACACACACACACTCTCTCTCTCTCTCTCTCTCTCACTCTCACTCTCACTCTCACTCTCACTCTCACTCTCACTCTCACTCTCACTCCCTCTAAAGTCACCATTCAGTTGCACGGCAGAAGTTGGCTTTTTAACTATAGTTGAAACATAATTTATTGTGATATCTATGTTACTGAAAAGCCATCACTTAACACAGGAAGGTGGCCCTGAGCATAACTCTCACTGTCCAATTAGCCAGAAAGAACTCATTAACAGAAACTTTAAAGCTCGGGGAAAAAAGTTATTTGATAGATCATCTGGTTATATCTCACTTAATACCCTGACATTATAGGGCCCTTGGGCATGAATGCACCTTGGTCTCTCCTGTTCTCTAGCTATAACACAAAATAGTCTCATTTCCTGAAAGATGTAATACTTTGGTATAAATCAAGTTGTTGGGGTTGATGTGGTAGTAGCTAGGTGGTTTTGATGGTCTGTGATGTGCAGGAGGTCAGACAAGGTGGTCTGGTGGTACCTCCTAGCCTTTAAATATTGACTCTAAATTCAGCAGTTTTTAAAAAAAAACTTAGGCACTGGGTCCCTTTATTACTTACTTCCACAGAGTTTGAGCTCTGTGTACTTCCAGCTACAGTAACCCCTTTGCTTGAGATTTCAGAGAGCCTGTTTAATGTCCCCAGATTTGTTCAAGGTTATACTTTAAAATATATATAAAAAAATCTGTGAATCAAAGACATCCCAAACAAGTAAAGTCAATATTAACATACATGGTGTTCTCCTTTTACGTCTTCTTTCTTGGTTTTCTTTACTAGTTTGGATTTTGACTGCAAAACAAAAGTCAGTTTTATACATGGCTCTGCATGTTAAATAACTAAAGTGATACTGTAGCAAAATATATTGCCTGCTTAAAACATTAGGGCTGTCTTACTATTTATTAGGTTCATTTAAGGGTTCCAAATACTGATGACTGTTCTAAAAACAAAAGCCCCACCAGACACACTTAATAAAAATCAATGTCAGTGTCATCACTAACTGAAAAACTTAAACAACAAATAATCTAGTAGCACTTTAAAGACCAACAAAACATGTACAGTAAAACCTGTATTATCTGGCATACTCGGGGATTAGGGCATTCCGGTTATCTAAATATTCTGGTTATCTGAGGGACGCATCAACCTAGGAAAAATCAATGGACAATAATAGTAAAACTCAAGTTTTTAATATTGGTAGTTTTGTAACATGAGGCAGTTGGTCTCACAGGGAGCTTGGAGAGGGAGTTCTGCAGGTAAAAGAGGAGTAAAAACAGGACCCTTGTAGAGCTTCTAAAAGGTTTGAAATCTAGAAGCCTCTGTTAATTGGCTGAGCCTCAGTTAGGGGGAGGGGCTACCAGACCTATATAAGCCTGTGACTCAGTGACCAGGGAGCTTGCGAACAGGAACAACTAACATGGAGTTTGGAGAGGGAGGTTAGAGGGCACTAGTGACTTCTGACCTTCTTTAAAACATAACTCTTATAATAATCTATATTCCAGAGGTTTAAAAAGAATCCCAGTTTATACTTAAACTTATTCATTAGAAAAATGGAGACAGAAGCCCAGCAGCAGAGTGGGGGCTATCCTGTTGTTTGCGTCGAGTGTAACATGTATGATTACCTGCTCTGTGGGCGGGGGGCATATGTGTGCACCCGTTGCAAGGGGCTCCTGACCCTCAGAGACCGAGTTCGGGCTTTGGAGGCCAGGGTGGCTGAACTGGAGGAGCTAAGGGAGGTAGAGAGAGATGTTGATGAGACTTTCCGGGACACTGTAGTACTGTCCCACCTCCAGTCTGAGAACCCCAGTACTCTTAAGGAGGTTAAAAGTCTCAAGGGAACAGAGCATTCAATGGGAGCAGAGGGAAACCATCCCGTAGTTTGGACCCTCCTCCCAGAGGATGTTGCGGTATCCTCTCGCACTGAAGATACCTCTGAGGGAGAGGGAATGCCAGTTAGGAAGAGGCAGGTGTCAGTAGTGGGTGATTCTATTGTAAGAAACATAGATAGTTGAGTTTGTGATGACCAGGAGAACCGTATGGTCCCTTGCCTGCCTGGTGCGAAGGTTGTGGATCTCTCAAGGCATCTAGATAGACTTGTGTAGTGCTGGGGAGGAGCCGGTGGTTGTGGTACATGTAGGTACCAATGATGTAGGGAAGGGTAGGAGAGATGTCCTGGAGGCTAAATTTAGGCTGCTAGGAAAGAGACTGAAATCCAGGACCTCTATGGTGGCATTCTCGGAAATACTTCCAGTTCCACGCACAGGGCCAGGTAGGCAGGCAGATCTTCAGAGTCTCGATGCCTGGATGAGACAGGGTTTGGATTTATTAGGAATTGGGGACACTTTTGCAAGAGGGGGAGCCTAAACAGGAAGGATGGGCTCCACCTAAACCAGGGTGGAACCAGAGTGCTGGCACTAAACATTAAAAAGGCCGTAGAGCAGTTTTTAAACTAAGAGATGGGGGAAAGCCGATTGGTGTGGAGATGCACGGAAATTGGAGGGAGACTTCTCTTAGAGAATCTCTATCAATGGATTCTCCTCTAAGCTGTAGTCAGAAAGAGAGGAGGGGAGAGGGCAAACCATGGGCCAGAGCAGACAAACAACGGCATACAAAGGAATCAAATGCATCAGGGAAGGGCAGACATATAAGCAGTGGCAAATTTTTAAAGTGCTTCTACACAAATGCTAGGAGTCTGACTAATAAGATGGGTGAACTAGAGTACCTCGTATGAAATGAGGAGATTGACATAATAGGCATCACTGAAACCTGGTGGAATGAGGAAAATCTGTGGGAAACAATCATACCAGGATATAAAATATATAGAAAGGATAGAGCAGGCAGGGTGGGTGGCGTAATGGCACTGTATTTGAAAGATAATGTAGAATCAAATGAAATAAAAATATTAAATGAATCAACATGTTCAATAGAATCGCTATGGATAGTAATTCCATGCTCCAATAATAAGAAATTAGCAGTAGGGATATATTACCGACCACCTGACCAGGACAGCGATACTGACATTGAAATGCTGAGGGAGATTAGAGAGGCTACCAAA